CGAATTGTCACCGCAGCTCGCGATCGCAGCTTTGTTTTTGGTTTTTTTTGGCTGCTTGGGGCGGCCAAAACCGTGGAGCCGGCCCTGGTGCCAGCAGCGCTGCTGGGGGACGTTTCCTTTACCAATATCAGCCGAGGTTGTCTCTGGGGCAGGGGGAGGTGCCCCATCCAATTCCGAGCTCCATTTTTGGCTCAGCTGAGTGAGGCCCCTGCAATCAACTGAACGGCTTTCCCCCTCTGCCCGGGGTCTCAATGGTGTTTGCAATGTGGGCAGCCTGAGTGAGTTGTTTCCCAGGTAGAAAGCCAAGAAATAAGAACAGGCGGTGGGGAAATGTTGAGGCACACGGAGGCCCTGGCATAGGGAGGAAGAATGGGAGACACACCGTGTACCTGGCCTGGGGAAGAATGAGGCACAGTGGCATGTGATGGAGGGGTAGCCCCTGGAATAGGGGGAAATGGAGTGATGGGAGGACAACAATATGGGAGGAGAGGGACCTGCAGGACCTATACAGAGCCCCTAGGGTGAGGGACATGGGAGAGATACAGAGCCCCTGACATGGTGAATGGGGTAAATAAGAGGACACAGAGTCCCTGATTTGGGGCGGGGGGTTTGCAAGAGGTTAGAAATAGAGAGGAATAGCACTGAGAGCTTGTGGGGGAGAATGGAGGGATTCAAGGAACCCAATCAGGTTGGCGTACAGAAGCAATGAAGTGTGCCAGCCTCTAGCTAGTGCTGAACTAAAGTCTAAACATGCTTGAGGGCAGCCTGTTATGATGCATCCTAGACAACTGCCCTGCTCAGGAAAGGTGCATCCAGACCACAGTCTGGACTCCTCGATTTTGATTGTCTCTCAACTACTGGCTCACCTCCATGGAACAATGATTGGGGCAGATGGGGCAAGCATGACTGGGGGAGGGGGCTGGAGTATCTCGGTGGGGGGTGGGGCAACGGACAAGGAGACATACACTTCTCTGAGCAGGGAGGGAGCTAACCATAGCCACTTACAGGAGAGAGACTTTTTAATTTGTTGCAACTAGGTGGAAGGGCAATGGTCAGCGTAAACAATACAATCCAGACAACGTTTTCCTAAAAGATATGTGCTTGAAATTAATTGGGGGAAGTTCTGTGCTATGGCCTGTGCTATTCAAGAGGTCAGACTAGCTGATCACAATGGTCCATTCTAGTCTATGCAGCTAAGAAATGTCACCCAAATAGATATGACTGTAGTCCTGCAGCTGATTGTGTATCTGCATGGAAGCAAAGATGCAGCCAGTGCAGTGCAATCAGTGATCTTCTGTGGTGTTCCACACCATTGCAGCGGTCTGGCCTGGTGCACAGGGCCAGCTCTGGCTTTTTTGCCACCCCAAGCAAAAAAAAAAAATTTAAAAACTGTGCAGGGCGGCCAGAGCGGTGAAGACAAAAAAAAAAAGAAAAAAAAGAAACAGGGGGCAAACTTTCAGTGCCACTTACTTGGCGGCTCGCGGCTGCCTCCCCCGGATGTGCTGGCAAGCCTCTGGGCGGGCGGCGGCTGCACTCTGGCCAACGGGACTCCCTGCGCTGCAGACGTGCCCCGGACAGTGGAGTGCGTGCACCGGCTAGCGGGGGGAGGGGAGGGAGAGGTAGGGAGCGGGGGAGAGAGAGAGAGAGAAGCGGGGTGGCCAGGGCTTCCTTCAGCCAGGGCACTCATCACTTGGCCCCTCCCACCTCGCCGCCTGCTGGGAGGGCTCCACGCCACTCCCACCTGCAGGTGAATTGAAGGTTGGCGGGGAGGGAAGGACGTGGGCTCCCGGGCTTGCTCTAGACCTGGCACCAGCTGGGGCAGACGGAGCGCGCAGCCCACTCCCAGCAGGACACTCCCCTCCTCCATGCCGCTGCCCCCTACAGGGCACCCGGAGCGGTGAACCAAAAAAAAAAAGGGTGACCGTGGGAATGTCGCCCCTTAGAATCTGCCGCCCCAAGCACAAGCTTGCTCGGCTGGTGCCTGGAGCCAGCCCTGCTGGTGCAAACAATTGTAGAGTTGAGGTCATACTGATTGTATAGTGCTCTCAAATACACAAATTAAACGAACAATTATTAAAACTTTTAACTTGAACTGCTGCTTGTAATCATAGTAGATGCAATTTTTCCCTACAAATATGAAATTCAAGTTGCTAACATCCTTTTAAAATGGAAAATGCAAGCAGTTAGATGAATTGAGATATTGATTACTTACTGACACTGTAGCTCCTATAGATCACCAGGTGATGAAATGCTATTAATTTCATAGGTTTTTTGTTTTTAATTTTGTTAATTGTCTTGTGCTATTTGAGTTGCAATTTTTTTGATATGTTGCATATTAGTTTGAAAATAGCAAATGCTGCTTCATAAATTAATAATAACCTTGTAACAGACTGCTTCAATGTTACTGAGTGGATCAGAGAGGATATACTGTAGCACTGGTACATTTGGGACTATTTTTCTCTTAGTGGCAGAATCATACTGATGTATCAAACATGGTCATTTTAAGTCTAGCCCCTCTGCGCCCTGATGTCAATAACTTCTGCCATTGAAGTGCAGATTTAGGCTTTGATCCTGCAATGAAATCTGTGCTTAAGGGGCCTTAATGGTATTTATTATAGGGCGTTTATGACTGGTTATTTCACACAGTAGGTAAATGATTATAGGTTAGACTTGCTCTTGAATAATTAAATCTCATAGCTGTCTCCTGCTAGAAGCAACACATCTCCATGTGAATGGAATTCAGAAGAAATATGTCAAAAGATGGTGACTCACTGGGGAGGATTTGGATACTTTATAACACTGAGTTTTAAGTATATTTTTTGAATGTTCAAGTAAAAATAAATCAGTTTAGCTTTTGATGCGTTATTTAAAATTTCACATTGCTAATAAGTGTCAAAACTAAATGTGTGTATATTGCTACACTTACATATAGTGCTTGAAAGATATTTGAAATCTGTAATCGCAGCTAAAATCTGTGATCCAATCGTGCAAACATGCATCTGCTTAATTTTATGCATTTGAGCTGTCCCACTGAACTCAATAGGTTTATTCACATGCATAAAGTTAAACACAGGTGTTTGCACTGCAGCACTAGGGCCTACATTATCTGTGCAAGAAACACTAAACCGAATATCCATCAAAGGAAAATATTAGCTGAATTTTTTTTTTTGGCAGGACTCTATCGTGCATAACCTCAAAGTCATTTAAACATTTTTGTTTTATCTTTCCAGTTTTAACTCCCTCAGTATCACTTGCAATACTTTTTTAATGATAGCCATAAATTGTTTTCCTTGACAGTTTGACATATGTTTTTCCTTCTTTAAAAAAAACCCAGGAGATTCACGTGATTCCACACTGCCTCTGTCAAATGCACCAAATTAAAAGTCTATTTACTAATTTTTGTATTAATTTCTCATATACTAACATTAAAGGGCTGTGTGGGGAAAGTCTGACATGTATATGACATGGTGTCAAGTATCAGGGGGTAGCCGTGTTAGTCTGTATCCACAAAAACAACAAGGAGTCCGGTGGCACCTTAAAGACTAACAGATTTATTTGGGCATAAACTTTTATGGGTAAAAAACCTCACTTCAGATGCATGGAAGAAGTGATTTTTTTTTACCCATGAAAGCTTATGCCCAAATAAGTTGTAACTGTGTTGGCAATGTCATTCCTGTTCAAGGCAATAATGAAGTCTTTATGTGGGATATGGGAACCAGATGTTATGCTTAGAAAAAGCACATGGGATCTTTTTTGGGGGAAAGGCAATACAACACGTTTATTGAAAATATAACAGTTAGCAAATGTGAAAAATCAGGACAGGGGCTATGGGGGGGTAATAGGATCCTATATAAGAAAAAGACCCCAAAATCAGGACTGCTAAAATTGGGACAGCTGGTCACCCTACAGTTAGCATATACAATCAATCTCACACACACAGGTCCTGCAGATGGTTTTATAGTTACCAGTCTGTCATAGCTCAAGTCAATCTAATGGCCAGTTAGATTGAGCACGAGTGAGGAGCTGGGTTCTGTTGGTCGCAATCAGATGCTCCAAGGCTTTGCAGGACTGAACCCAGAGGTCTATGGCAAAGAACCCCGGCTTTATACTTTTAAATTCCCACTTTAGTCTATGGATTTTGCAGTGTCATTCTGTAATCGTTAGTCCTTAAGTGGTGTTAATCTTGGGGGTTTCTGCTGTTCTCATTTGATGGTTATTGTTGGTCTTCCCATCGTTATCTCCTATTTGTTGTCTCGCCTTCGGGGGTGCCTGTCTCACCTCTGAGGTCGTCAATGCTGCTAACATGTTTAGCATCGGATACAACGGATGTTTTCTGATTGTCTCCTGGTGTTTCCAAGTCTCTCACTTTTTCTTGACCATCTGGACATTTGTGATGGGCTTTTCACTTATTTTTAACTATGCACACATTCCTCACTCGCACCAAACAATTTTACAGAGACTTTCAGACAGGATAACATTTTGGAAAGGATTATATGGTTACTAACAGGATTACATAAGAACCTTACACAACTTAGTTTGCAGTGCAGACAAGGAACACAAAACTTAATTTGCAATGCATTCAAGAAGCAAGACCTTATAGCAAATACTATGATGAAATCTTATCCTAAAACAAATGGTGACCATAATCAGCCATAAGAACTATTCTGGTCTATTCCTGCCTTGAAATCAAAAAGGGTGGCTAGCAGGGCATA